TGAAGAGAGCAAACAAGGAGGATGGGACTTCATAACCTAAAGCTATAATTGGACAATTAACTCCAATATGCAAATAGACCAAAACTTATAAAAGTGTGAAACCTTGTGACCAGACATCCATTCTGTGACCATTTTGGGTCCATCTTGGGTGCAGCCCTGCCCAGACTCTTGTTTTTCCCAAGGTGTATCCTTAAAGGCCTTTTAATATTGCTTTATTCTCTTAGCTCTGTCTAGTCTCTGTTCCAGGTGAGCATTCTCAAGGCATCATCTTAAGCTTCACTAATTGGTTTTATTGCATCAGGGAAAGCTAAACAGCAAAAATATAAATTGTATTTGAAGTCTCCACACTTCTAACATTAAAAACAGATGGTTTGCTTTTCTTTTCTGAAGGATCTAGGAAGATCTGAAGCTTCCCAGTCCAGGCCATGGTGTCATACATATCACTTGTCAGGGCTCAAGAAAAATCAGAGCAGAATAGTATCAAGTGTTATATTTCTTCATTTTTCTTCCTGGTTATAGTTGTGATATTTGATTTTCAGGTCATCTGATCCACCCCTGTTTCCCAGCTCCTTGCATTCCTCAAGGACTCTGTGCTCTATGCTCTGCATCTACAGGAGGAGGTAAAAGGGTGGTTTCTGGGGATGCAGGATGGTAGTGCACAGACAACAACCATTTACAGGATGTGGTAGAGCTCTACTCAAACAAGAGATTCATTTTTTTGAAGTAAAATTGTCAACATGCAGATTTCCTCTGAGGTTCTAACTTTGCTGCCTCCTCAGCCAATGCTTGTACTCTTCAAGTGTAGTGAGGAAAGCTACATCTTCTCCTTTTGATAGGATAATAGAAGTGAGGTTATCCACACTGCACCTTCTGAGTTTTCAGTCAACCAGCAAGATTTATTTCATCAGATGAAGCATGACCTGTTTTACTCCCCTGCTGTTCACTGGTATCTACCTAGATAGTTGGGTAACATAAAGACTTCGGAACACAACAAGAGTTAGGATACTGCTGGAGACTATGGAAAACCTGCACACAAATGCTGTGGTTTTGTCTCCCAAACTCATCAGCACCCACTTCTCCTTGGGACTTGTCATTCCTTTCGGATTCCCCACCCTTCTGTCCTTGCCATGGAACAGAGAGCCCTCGCTTGCTGCCATCCCTATGACACAGCTCCTCAGGCTGTGGAAGCTGTGACCCAGCCTGGTGCTGAGTGTGCTGAGGGCTCAAATGTCAGCAGCGTTTAGCCCTCCTGTGGGCAACATTGTTCCCACCCCATCTATCCCTAGCACAGGCCTTTGTTTGCACCCCATGGGAGGAAAATAATCTCCTTGCCTCTGACCACACCTGGATTCAGCCTTCAATTTGGCACCTTGAAAAGTGGGCCAATTCTCTAACACTCTTGCCAGGACTAAAGCCAGAGTGAATGCAGCTAATTTTCACTGCTCTAATTAGGTGTTGAGTTGGCAGAGGAGACTCACCTCTCAGAATTTTTTTTTTTTAAAACAGAGAAAAGGGAAAGAAAGGAGGAAAGAAGGGAGGAAAGAAGGCAGGCAGCAAGAGAGAAAAAGGGAGAAAACGAGGAAGAAACAAACAACTGCATTCCCTGAAAAAGAGAGCATTGAGTACTTGGCAGGGGTAACAAGGAGGGAGAGAGCATTGAGTACTTGGCAGGGGTAACAAGGAGGGAGACTGAGAACAGCCCCTTTCTTGCAGGTGCGGGACAGAAGAAGGTGTCCTACACAGATCAGGGGTTGGAGGAGCACTGGGGACCTGGGGGGCAGCCACAGAGGGAATGCCTTCCTACATTTTCTGGCTTGCTTTGGCTGTAGGTGTCTGGGGAAGCCTTTGGTGTGGAAATCAGACAAAGGTGTCCCTGTTGTTACTTACGGGAATTCAGTGGCTCAGAGAAATGCCCTGAAAATATGTTGGGATCCAGTTTTGCAGTCTCAGACAAACAAAAAAAAAAATACTTTAGTAGTGCTCCACAAGCTCTGGCCAAAAATCAGCATTTTCCCCAGCTTATTTAATAATCAGGTGCCTTTGTCTCCATCCCCACCCCCAAAGAAAAAGAAATTCGTATCTGCTCTAGATGACTGGAAATGAAGGGGGCCAAAAGCTGTATGTATGGTTTTCTTAGCTTCTCTACTCAGAGAGCCAGGGCCATGGAAACATCAGACTAAGAGGCTTAGAGTAAATCCTGGCAGTCTCAGTGCTAGAAACTCTCCCACTGATAACCAAAGCCTAATAAATAAGTTTGAGAGAAAAACTAAATGAGAGTGCGTCAATGTTGAGCAGTTAATTAGGATACCTCTTAGCATTTGTGCTGCAAAGAATGAGAAAATTAAAGAATATAGGAACATATGTTGGCAAGAGTGAGAACATGCTAAAAGTAAACACTGTTTTTAATATTAGCAGTAAAAATAATATTAATTAGTTGTATTACAGTAGCACCTAGTGGTGCTACTGGATCTCATCGCCAGATGAGATCAAGGTCCTCAAAATATGAAGGTCTTAAAGCTGCATATAAGTGCATATATATATATATATATATATCTATATATAAAACATATGCACATGGACATGTGTCCATAACATGTAGATAGACACAATTCAGGTGATGAAGAAACCTCAGCAAATGGGAATCAGACTACAGAATATTTTGTGACTTGGCTTCTCTTATTCCTATTTTCTTATGTGCTGCAGACCAGCTGTTTGCAACTGTAATTTATGATACAGAGAATAGACGACCGTATATGTAGTTCAGGAGTCAGAGTGTATATATATATATTTGTGTGTGTCTGTGTGTGTATTCAAATACAGGTATGTCTATACATCTGTGCATGTACATATGCACATATATGCACGTTCAGACCACATGGAGTTATATTTTTCCTAACTTGTATCAGGACAACACAGAAAGCTTGGCAGACAAAATAAAAGCTACCCCAAAGGCTCCATTTACTCCCCAGGCACTACTTTTTTACCACAGTAGAACTGCCACTGTCTTTTTTGTGCACACTTGGGCACTTTTTGGAGAGAGATGTCTCCCCAGCACGCACTGTAAAATTCTCCTTAAAGAAAGTCATAGCTGAATACTGCCTTCAGCTAAGTCAATATAGTCTGAAAGGGTACAGAACTGCAAGTTGCAGTTACTTCAGCTGCTGCTTTCTACTACATAATTTAATAACAATTTGAAAAAACTACCACCTTTCCTGATGTGGATTTGCATGCCACAGCAGGGAGAGGCTATAATGACCCAGATGACACACAGTTAACTCCGGATTCCTTAAGACACGGGAACTAATTTAATTGTTAATGTTTTACTGCCTGGGTTTCCTAAGAAAATGAGCCCTTGCAGATTATCTGGGTTCCTGTTTCAAACAGAGCAGTGCTGAGGGCTTTTTAGAAAAAAAAAATCTTGTTTTACTCTGAAATAGCAGCAGCAGTCTTGAGATATGCAGTGAGGAAATTGCACAGTAGGTTGAGGCGTCAATTTAATGTTCAGAGACATGGTTCGTTTGAATGATAATTTCATTAGATTAGTTTGTAAACTTTTAATGCAGGTTGCATTATATGTCTAAGAAGAAACAATTTGTGTGACAGACTATCCTTCATAATCCCCCTCTTCAGCCTTCTGCTAACAAAAGACCCTTAATACTGAAGATGTTTTGTGGGAGGAGAAACATTTTCCAAACAAGTAGTTTCTCTATTCCAGCCCAGGTAACAAAGAGGCCTTAGGAATTTCTGTAGGCCTTGTCAGGACTGGCCCATTGGTCTTAAAGCCACCTGCTGCTTAAGCCATTGGTCAATAGATTAGCTGCTGCTATTACTAAGTGTTTAGGAAAGTAAGTTATGTGGCAGAGCAAACAAAATCAACCTCCTTAACACATGTTAATTCAAAATTTAATAAATCTGCACTGAGAACAGTAAAGCAATCAAGGACGGTGGGGTGCGCAGGAAAGCTCTTCGTATGCACTGCTCCCCCAACCAAAGTATCGCATAGCAGATAAAAAGTCTTAAACAAAAGGATAATACTCTATTTGCTTTGCAAAACTAGCTTGACACTTGCCTCCATACCTCTGCCTTCCTCCTTTTCTTCTGGCTTTTGGATGCTGTTTTGCGCTGCAGATTTTGGGCAATTTCCAAACCTCAGTCACTGCAGTTCACAATAAACAGTAATAGTTGAGTAAATTCCTGGTGAAAAAGTGGGAAGGATTTAAATACTGGTTAAAGCTGTGACACTCCACAGCCTCACATGTCATTCTTATTCTGTAATGAAACACATGTTTTAACAAAGCACATCACCCCAGGAAGAGAAAACCTTCTGCCTGCCCTCACACGTCACTGGGGACTTTGCATGGCCCTGGAGGTCCAGAAGAATTTTGTCAAGGGAACCAAGGAGTTTCATGAGGCCAATGCTTCACAGATCTGGCCTGGGCAAAGGTCAGAAAGGTGCTACCAATTCTTCTTAAAATGAGTCATTTAAATCTCATTTGCCTACAGCTCTATGCTATTTCATGAGATAAAAGAAAGACTTGGGAGAAAAAATTTGCTTTGCATGCAAAAAAGGACGTAGGGCAACACCAGGTGTTGGTGCATGTTGGCTTAGGAGTTCCTGGTTTTCTGTCACATGCTTTAAGCACTTGCTGTCTCTCATACTGCAAATTTAAGTAACTGGTAAAATACAGTTCTCATTGTTTTGGAAAGATCCACAAAAATTCTTGGAATAAATTTCCATTTTGTAGTGTCTTTCTTAACTTTCAGATTCCTATGTTTCATTAAGAAGTAATTTGTTTCATATATGAGTTAGCTGTGGCCTAAAACAGAAGATAAGATTATGGTAGCCCTTACTTGGCTTATAATCATGGGAGGGATGTTCCTGCAAGGGATGAGTCTGTGTTTTGTCAATGGATACTCAGACGAAGAGAGAAGTCCAGAACAGTGGCAATTCAGATGACACATAAGTTGCCTACTGATGTTTTCCCACTGAGTGTTTGAGGGAGGAAGAAGCAGAGAAATGCACTGAAATGTATTCATGCTCCAGCACATGCACACTTCTATCCAAGGTGAGGTGTGGCAGCTGGCACTGGCCTTCTCCTCAGAAATTTGACCATTCATCACTGTTGGGTTTGGGATCTGGGTTTTTGTAGATTTCCCACAAATCAAATGCTGGTTTGCCAAATGCATTTTGACTGGTTCCAAATACATGTTGATGATCAGGTACAGTACCTTATTAGGAAAACAAGGCATCTTCCAACCAAATTGTCAGGGGTGATTTCTCAGGATCCATAGGCTGGGTTGTGATTTCCTTGGTCGGGCTTTGGCAGAGCACTCCTTAACCTGACATGTGAATAAATGCTACTGCAGGCTTCCATCCATGCTGTTTGGAAGGCTGAAAATTCCCCCTTTGTGAGGCTGTAAATTTCCTGAGAGGAGAAGGCAGCAGTAACTCCAAAATGTTTTCCTTGCAGACCTTGTTGAGCTGTTTTTTTCTTGGTAGGGGAGCATTTAGACCTCTATGAACAAGATAAGATAAATGATTTGTTATGGCAAGGTGGGTTTTGCTAGGCTATCAGCTGCCATCATGGAGACCAAGCTGATGGTTGTAGCAAGATATTAGAGGCTAGCTTTGAACAGGACGTTTATCTGAGATTTTTATAATACATCAAAGCTCCTTGCATGTCTGGCAGTATTTGGGGGTCAGTAAAATGCTAAGAACATTCCAGCAGGACTGCTATCCTTCCTTTCCATCCCAAGTCTAATCACCTTCCCTTTGGGCAGTCTGCTAAAATTGTGGTGGTAGATTAAAATCAGAGGTCTGGATATAACAGAAGATTGCCTGTGTCACATTCTAAATGTCTTTGACTCCAGGACCTATACTCCTGATGGACACAGCGTAAGGTAAGCCAGATCTAGCCCTATATTTGTGCTCTGCAGTGAAGACATAGGGCATTTGTGTTCAAAGTATCTTTTCCCAAGAAGGTGGGTGAGCATCTGTCTTCACAGCTGACACCAAAGCTGGTTTTCAGCCAATCTGCTGGCAAGAGACACGAGTGAGTACAGTCCCGTTTGACAGCCATAAGCTCCAGGTAGTTTAATGTAATGCAGTTGAAATAAAAGCACTTGGCTGGTTTGTTGTGCAACATCCCCACATTGCCTCAGTCTAGCAAGGTCAGCTGGATGATATTATAGATGGATACTCCCTGGTTCCTTTTCACTTATTTTTAATGTGATGTTGCTTTCTGTACACATATTAATTGTATAAGCCAAGAAAAAATATGGAGTAAAGGAATATATTTTTAGATGTTACTTTTAGATGTTACTTTATTTGGAAAGCAAGAGATGTAGTCTCTTCTGGAATTCAATACTCATAAGCTGAACAGTGCTTTACTGCTGTAAAATCACACAAGATGCAGTTAAATCCGGCAATTTCTTTGCTGCCTCATAATGAAGAAACCTAAGCTCAACTATTATTCTCCTTTGAGGCTAAGAATTCAAACTCACTTTGAGAAAGGACTGATTTAAGATCATTTTCTGCTCTGAGTGTGCTAGGCATTACACAGGGTGCAAAGGCAATACACAGTGTAGCATGACACTTAAACTGTTATTACACTTATATTGCATTTAGAAAAAAATCTTCAATCATTCATAGTTAACCTAGGAGAGCATTTTCCCCAATGTGACACTTAAATGTTTTTAAAATAATGGGATGATTTGTTTCTTTCCCCTTGAATATGAAGCAGCGAGGTTAGAAAGGGAAGCAGAGGGGGGATGAAAAGTGGCTTATATTGTCAAGGTCTCCTTAACTGTTAAGCAGTGGGGGAAAGAATTAGACTCCTTTCCTGGGTGAAAACAGAGAGATACTCTCCACTGATGACTGTCCTTCTAAGCCTTTCCTAGCACAGGCTAGCAGTTAAAATAATACTCACCTACTGGGCATCCAGCAGAGTTGATCTACCTTTTCTGCTAGGAGGTTCACGTCCAGTCAAGCCTGATTAATCTGTTGCAAGTCCTGAATGATCCTAAATAAAACACATAACAGCTACACCTGTTTATCAAGTCAGTTCATTTCCCTTCCCCTATTCCACACTGAAAAGGAGCATTAATTAAAACAGTAAACAAACGAGCGCCTATTCTAAATCAGAGCTGCAGGCAAAGAAGAGATAACTTAGGCTCTTGAGAAGAGGGATTTTCAGTTAATTTATGGAATCTACTGTCACTCTCAGGGCAAGGGAGCTTACGTAGCTGGGAAATTGAAGCAGACAGGCTTTGTCTAAACACTTCTTTTTCAGTGAATATCTTCTCTTTTTTTCCTATTTTAATTTTTAATCAAGCCCTTTTTTTTTTTTCTTCTTCTTTTTTTTTTTTTTTAAAGGAAAGAAATTGCTAGATTTTTCCAGTGTTCTGGTGACTCATACAGCTCCTGTGAGATACCCAGAAGGTAGAGAATAGTGAGGAGGAGAGGCAGGAAGCTGAGCTTTAAAAAGACCAGTGTGAGAATATGAAACGTTCCTTTATCAAATTATTCCTCGGAAATTAATTGCTGTGTTTCGATCTGTTTTATTCATCATTTCCCCAGCATATTCATCTGTTCCCTGGTCCTGGACCAGTGTCGGTGTGAGTGTATTTTTTTGTCGGCTCAGATCCCCGATGAAGTGCAGGGAGCCCACCTGAATTACACATTTGCAAAGTGGTGTCCACTCGGTTCCTGCACGGAGGAGCTGCCGGGTCGCTCAGCAAGGCTCAGCTGGCTGCTCCCTGCCACACACAAGCGAGCCTGTGAGCGAGCTTGCACCCTGTGACAAAGGGGCTGCTCCTGCCTGCCAGCGGCTGTGAGGAGAGCGCCGAGGGGATCAGAGAGCAAAGCCCGGGGATGCGAGTCTCGGTCGTGCTTTGCGGGTTCTGTTTGTACCCATCTCCCAAACTTGGGGCTGCCGTCCCCAGCCCCGGCTCTGCGGGAAGAGACTGCCGGGGGAACTGCCTGGCTGCGGGTGCTGCAAGGTCAGGGCCTCGGCTTCAATATGGATTTTGGTCTGCTTTGTTGGGGTTTTTTTTTGAGGGAAGCACGTACACATTCAGTTTTTGATAGAGGGGGAGAAGCAGCAGGGGAGTGCCTCAGAGCTGCAGGAAAAATGGGGGGCAGACCCCCCTGAAAGAGAAGAGGTGATGTGCTCTGAATTCCCCCTCACAAGCACATAGCTGAGCTAATTGAAACTGGCTCTCCCACATCCCTGGAGAGTGCCCTGACCTCCTACCTCCCAGCAGCTGGGGGGAGGGCTGGGAGGCACAAAAAAAAAACCTCCCCCTCTTTTCCTCTCTCCCTCTATCTCTCCTTCTCTCCCTTTCCCTCTCCATTTTATCAGCAATTCTACCTCGAGAAACCTTCCCTGCTGTAGCTCCTGCTCTACACACCCAGGACAATTTTCAACAAATCACCATTTTCTGTCAAAAAATTTGCAACCTGATCTTGTTACAAGCTGCTTTTCAATTCCAGAACATAGCTAAAAAGATTACTGCTCTGCCCAAATAAAATACAGGAGGGAGACAGTTTAAACTCCGATCAGCCAGGATTTGTCACGATGAAGGCTGTGTTTCTCAGGAAGCAAACTATCATTTTGCTTCTTACAATACTGTTGGGACTCTCTCCCTGGGCTAATTAATATATTAGACATTTGATTTTATTTCAGACTGAGATTTGGAATAATTCAGTTTGTGAAATTACACTGAAATTGTAGTTTTCATAAAATTACAGACAGACCAAAAAAAGTTCTGTAAACCTTTGTCATTTCAGATACAAACCTCTTTTAAAGCTACAGGAATGCCTTCTACATATTTCAAGTCATCCAGCTTTTACTGGTGGCATATCCAGTAATCATGTTGACAAATTAATGGTAGAGAATTAGTTGTACATTAAAGATTTAAATTATATTATGCAGCACATTGTCATAAAATGATATAAAACAATTGGCAAATAAATGTAAATTAATTCCAGTTACTGACATGTAAGACGCAGACTGACATCTGTACACTTCTTGCCTTGCGCAGCTGCCATACTTTCAAACGTAAAGCAAAGTGGGAAGCGGGATGGAGCAGTGCAGCAGCAGGCAGGGATGGGCTCAGGCCCGGCCTTTGGGAATGGCCGTGGGCTGGGCAAACCGTACCTCCACTTCTAAACAAACAAATTTGTGTCCAGCATTGCCCCTGTGTGCCCCTGGGGGGACGGTAGAAAAGTTTCCTTTGTCAAGCAGGATGAATACCTTGTCATGACAATACTCCGGGTTTGGCATTATCCCACCCTGACCAAAATCCCTCGAGTTCCTATCAATACCAAAGCGCGATTGCTTCCCGGGGCACAACCCCCAGACTTTAAAGGGCTCACTCGCTACTGTGCTGGCTAATTATATGGACTCCATTTCCTGTTATGAAGGAATGTATTACCTGCAGCAAAGGATGCAGAAAATATTGGGCGCGGGAGGTGCTAGGAGGAAGCAGAAAGCAGCCATGAATTCAAGCTCCAGCCCTGGGTTTATACCCACAATCCAGACCCATGCTGAGAGCCTAATCACTGGGGCCATTCTTTGGGCTGTTGTCCAATCAGTCCCTGAATAGCAAACCCCCACAATGCGGAGTATGAATTAGAGGGGGGGAATAAACGTGGGCGCAGACTTTTTTTGCAACAATACCTAACTGGGCCTTCCAGCCAGGACAACTCACAGACAAAAGCACGGCGGAAATTGAAGTAACTTTTGGAGGCCCTCATCAGTAAGAGCTAGCTTGATGAGGGTAGCGCTGGCTTCTTTTTTGTGTGGACTGGATCAATTATTCACTGAGGGGGGAGAGGTGGAGGGAAAAAAATCTTAAAAATCCAACATTTGTGTTGCACTGGCCTTGGAAATCATGGCTGTTCACTGAATAAAACCAAATATTTTTGTCTCCTCCTCCTTCCCTCCTTGGCAGATGCTGCAGTAATTTAGGGGGTGACTGGTGGAGTGCTTGCATTCCTTACCCTTCCCCCCCTCCTTTCCACCCT